TTAAATCCTAGGCATTCATTATTATTATTTATATTATATTTTATTAAATAGTATTTTTTTTTTTTTTTTTAAAACATAATTTATTATTATTGTTACATAGCATTATGTAATCACACAATTACCTGTAATTGATAAAATATTTAATAATAATAATTCGCAAGTATAGTGCGATTAAATAACTTAATATCTTTTTACGGTACAATTTTATCTATCAAATGAGTAAATTAATAGAACGTATCTTATACATATTTCATGTATTTTGTATGATATATTTATAATTTTTGCTGTAATACCGTAAACACTATAAAATAAATCAAAATATAATGATGAAGGTATAATATTATAAATTACATGATAATTGTTAAAACACATTAAGCTCCTTTTTCAACGTGATAAAAGCAAAATTGCATATTATAATTGTTCTCCGGAATCAAATTCATTATTTTTGGTCTCTCCTGAGAGTTCGGAAATATTCAAATTACGAGGTAGGTATTGCAGTGACAGTCGTGATATTTTACGGTATTTAAATTATGTTTTTTTCTGTATTTGAAAATTGCATTCAAATTATTGTAAAACGTTAATAGAACTATACATGTTATTTTCAACATTTTCCAAGATTTTTTAACACGTCAGTAAGCGCATAGCTTACAAAATGCATATTTTATAAATTCAAGAAGGAAATAATTGGAATTTTTTTTCAACTCTTGCACACTCACGAATTTATCGTACATTAATATTTCAATATTTAATTGTTTGACTAAACTGTTAGTAAGGTATAAAAATAATTAAATAGCGTTTTAAGAACTGATAAATTCCCTGATTGGTATAGCCAACAAATACGATTGCAACAGGCTGCAACGTCTCCTCTCAAAGTGACAAAGTCAGATATTTATTTTATTTAATAACAATAACGGACAGAGCCCAATTCATGAAAAAATACATGTTTGAATATATACATAACAAGTAATTTAAAGACAAATAATTTAGGAGAGGAAAATAAAATTAGAAGAAGAATGACGGATCCTTGTTGGCAATTTTCATCACCCTGGATAATGGTTCATTTCTTAAATGATTGGTAGAGCAATGTGGCATATGAAAAAGAACACTATTGAGGGTGTTTCTAATTATAGGTACCTATTTATTTTAATAAGTGCAAGGAGGGAAAGTCAATAGAGCCAGAGAGGAGTTTGCGAAGAAAAGTTAAATTATATTGGTATAGACGATCGGATAAGGATATCACAGAGTATAGACGATGATTCGCATCAATGGTGGTTCTCTGGTCAATTTTTTTACGATGAAGAAGTGGCCGATAACTGCTACAAAAGTCACCGTACACACCAATGTAGCTAAATTGTCTATACACCGAATATTATATTATTTTTGTTATCAGGAATAACAACTATTATAATATTGTACATGCTGTTTTCAACATTTTAGAATACTTTTGAGCCAGTGAAAATAGCTTTCAAAATGCATATTTTATAAATTCACGACGGTAATAACCGATAACATGAAATTGTTTTTTCCAACTCGGGCACACTCAAGCATTTATCGTACATTATTAATATTTCAATATTTAATTGTTTGGCTAAACTATTAGTGAGATATAAAAATAATTAAGTTTGACGGCAGAAAAGGTCATCGTACACACTGATGTAGCTAGATTGCCTATACACCTCGCCGTCCGACGAATATTATATTATTTTTACTATCGAAAATAACAACTAGTTAGTTTAACCTAACCAAAACCTTACGATAATAAAATGTTAAACAACATTAACAAATGTTGGTTCTATCATTGAATAGAATAAGAATCAGAGCATATCACTGGATGGAGCCAAAAAAAGTGTGAAAATGGTTGATGAATGTTTATGTAATAATATTAATTTTTTAATATTATTAATTTATATTTTGCCTTTAGATTTGACATTATACTATAAATTACAATATATAATATACAAAAACTGCAATATTATAATATTAAGTATTCTACCTACGTTTGACTGTCACAATTTACACGTTTGATTTATTTGTGTATATAAACAGCGCATTGGCTTTTGTCACGGATTAGTACTTAATCCTACATAAATATTAGTTCAGACATTTATCATAATTTTAAAATTGAATAGCGGTCTAGTACACAATAATATCATTGGAATTCGATCGTATAATTTGTGACGATTTCATTCATTTCGGCCTTTAATAACATTTGAATTTAAAACGAAAGTTACAAAATGTACACTTTATTAAAAAAAAAAAATAAATAAATACAATTTTTTAAAAACACTTTTCTAAAAAAACATATTTAAAAAAATAAAGGTATACTTAAGAATACAAAAAAATAATGAAAAATTTACTGATGAAAAATTTAAAAGTGTGTGGTGCTCTTACACTTGACATATACTCCCAGTCATTATCTTATAAACAGGATTGAACAAAGAAGTGTATGTGAGACTTAGCTCGGCTTTAAATGTTTTGTATGATGCACCACATACTTTTAAATTTTTCATCAGTAAAATTTTCATTATTTTTTTGTATTCTAAAGTATATCTTTATTTTTTTAAATATGTTTTTTGAGAAAAGTGTTTTTAAAAAATTTATTTTTATTTTTTATATTCTACTTTTTAGTTAAAAGTAAATTTTTTATTTTAACAACATTATTCTGTTATAATATGCTGTACGGCTAATTTACTGAAGTACGGCGAGTAATGGTTAGGTTAACACGCCTTGACCCAGAAAAACCCTTCGTACCTGTACTTCCTCGAAGATGACTTTGCACACCCGTCATCGCCGACCTGGAGGTCCGGGTCCCAAAATGATAACGGATTATTGTATTGTCATCCAAGACCAAGGTCTATATCAATTTTCAGAATTTTTCATCGTCAAAAAGTGCCTCAAATCGAGCGTTCAAGATTTGATTACAGACAAACAGACGTGAAAGCGAACTTAAGAAAAGTGTGTAAAAAAAGAATGTTGTGAGTATACAAACAACTATAGTCGCTGATTAGAACTTGAATAAATGACCGCAGCGATAGTCATTTAAATTCGTGTACACAATAATATGTGTTATAAATCTGTTAATTATTTTTGATTGAGCGAGCTCCACTTAGAAAGAAATATTTATCTTCTTTATCTCACCTATAGGTACAAATAATATTTTAAAGTATATAGCTATTACTGTCTACCTATTTCAATAAAATGATGATCTGAGGTAAATTATTATCCATATCATTTTTTGGTTATCTTTGCATAACACTTAATTTAATGTATATACCTCGAGTAGGACGTAGCTGACGGACAAAATATTGTTTCAAATAAACGATCCGTTGGTTATGGTGGATGACTTTATCGTTTTGTTGAAATCAAATTTGTATTTCTATAAATCAACCTGTATATATTTATTTATATTTTAAAAAAAATAACACATACATAATAATAATATGTCTAAACAATTTTTTTATACACGTCATATTGCAATACAACACATTCCGCCGAATCACTAACACTATAATATTATTGTATTATTATTAACAACATAGTTTTATTCATTATTTGTTTATTGTGTGAACTTTTAGAGTAAAATCAGGTATTAAAAATTATACACAATTCACGTATAGTAATTATTATTAATAAACTTCCGGCTAAATAATACAATACAGGTATAACATTGATATGGTATTTACACATGGTACAGTTCTTAACTTAATATTTTTGTACATTATCAAAATTAAAAACAATAACGAATAAAACATTTGATGATTCTCTAAGATATGGGAAAACATTTAATGAACATTTAAGATTCTCAGTAAAAATGTTTGTCAAGGAATGTCGAACGAATTCAATAAAATTCGGTGTAATTATGAAAAAAAATTATTATGTAACTCGATATAAACACAAAAAAAACGTGTCGTAAATTGGACATTTTTTACGATTACGTTTGAGCAATTTTACTCTCAATCGTTACAGGAATTTTATTGCGCGTAAGTTTTTGTTAGTTTTGTGAAAGGTTAATATTGGATCATTACAATTAGTAGGAAAATATGATGAAACATACAAAAAAAAAATAACAGGTGTGTAGTAGTGGGTCACTTAAACATTTCAATCGTTCCAATTACCAGAAAAAGTTTGTTCGACGGATATCGCGATTAACAAGTTTTCCGAGTTATTGAATTAGTTTCTATACCGGTAAAATGTTGACAAGGTTTCAGTTTTGATACGATCCGAAGGATAACATATCATAGGTCCGTAACGAACGAGCAAAGATGATGTTATACGTTATAGCCATTTTCCTATTTCATGATCTTTAAATTGAACGTCCATTTTCAAAAAAAAAAAAAAAATGCTTATCGAGAGGATGAGTTAATAGCTGGTGTCATGTGAATTCGTTTGAAATCAACCGAATAAATGTAAGTGACTTCTTAATGTATTATTCAAGGCTTATAAATGTTAACGTCATGTCAAACGGTTATATGTGATTGTAAATATTTCGAATCGAACGACTGAATAATGGTTTCAGTTATTGCAGCACAAATAAAAATATCTAATGGATTTTACGTGGATAGTGCTCATTAAACGGTATAGAGACGACGATTCGATATCGTTTGACCGAAACCCAGGTTATGTTTTGTGTACGTACTTATCGGCGATAACGTGATTTTGGTTTTCAATCGCATACTCAAACACGCAGACGTAATAAAATTTAATTAGTATCATTATTATTGGTAGCAGATTGACGGGTGGGTAGTTGGCGACCACATATACCACGACCGCTAGGTACTCAGCGGTCACGGTAATGTGGTGACGTCGGTTTGGTTAATGCGTGGTATTCTCCTATGGTTAAGGGAATGGTGGGGAAAAATAAAAAAAAAACATATTTAAAACAAAGTAATGTTTCGAAGTCCGATTTCGGGTTTCGTCTCAACACACGCCACTTGCGTACGCCCCTTTCGTGTGCGGCTGTAGTGTGGCATCGGTAGCTGGTTTAAGGGTCCTCTCGGGGTTCAGTTCAGGAGCCACAGGATCAGTGGCGGCGAGACGGCGAGCGCCAGCGACACGAGTCCACCTATGGCGGCGTCCACTGGACAGCCTGTCGACCAGCTGGCAGTGGCGGCGGCCAGGAACGCCAGCTCAGCCGCGATGCTCACCGATTGGCTGACCGTTGACCGGCGGACCCGGCTAGAACCGCGACTTGCCCGGTGGCTGCTGCTTTTCGTCTCCATCTCACCAGCCGACTCGACGCCGTTCATCCGCAGACCGGTCTTGTCGTCCATTTTTCCTCCGGACTTCCGGTCACCTGGAATAACAGATTCAAAACCACGTTAATGATAAAACGCCATAATTTTCACGATTAATTTTAATACTGCGTTTCATAGTGTAATAAAACGTTAGAAGATTTTATTGCGATCGGATTTATCGCTGTTTTAGTGTATTTCTAAAACATTTATAGTAATTTTCGCTGAGAAAAAAGTATTGAGATATAATATTAGTCAATTTTACAATACGAGAAATAATTACCAATTTCCTATATTTTTTTTTTTTTTTTGAGTGTGGTGCTATACCCAGGAGTAGGCCCAAAGGCCAAGTTTGGACGCATTTGACAGAATTTATAATTGAGCACCCGTAGGTTTCTGCCATGCCCTGTTGGGGGATACTGGTCTCGCCGTCTAAACAGTTTCCCGCCCAGAGAGCGATGCCGCCCGTGACCGGGATTCGAACCGGCCAAGATGCGCGTTACCGCTCAGCCAATCTTTCCCCCTCCATTGTTTTATATAATAATACACCATAGGTGTATGATTACGATTAAAATAATTAATTTAAAAAAAAAAAACTTGGAAAAACATTTTGTAATATTATAATAATATGCTATATATTATGTAAATTAATTATTGTTGTTATTCATTTTTTTAATTTATAATATATGATCAAATTTCTTAAATGTACTACCCAACTATATTAATATTATATAGGACTAAATTTAATATTATGAAGAATGCTGATTTTGATAACTTGAAAAAAACAAAAAACAGAAAAACTGAGGATATGGTTTTTGCTGTGTAGTATAATTTCAACTTTGTAGTAGAGAGAATCACTGCAGCTGTAATGGATGTGTTGAATTGAATTTTAACGATAAATCATGACCAAAGCGAAAACAATTTTGAACGAAAGAGGTGGGTGGATCAGAATCTATTTCTATAAATAATAAATCTGACAAATTTATATTTTATATTATAAGTTTTTTGTTAATTCGGTAAAATTATTTAATCCGTCAAAATCATGACTTATACAATACTGAAATACCAATAATAAGAAGAATTTATCGGTTTGTGGTATGCCTAAAACATAATATGCGCAGTGCAAAATAATAATACATTCTATGGTGAAAACTAAAATTTAAAGTCTCTACAATTAACTATTTATTTAATTATTACAAAAAAATATTTAATAGTGTTGGATGAAAAGTTTTTATTTGTTGTTTAAATATATAAACTTCGATATTTGTTAAATTCTATAAACAAAAAAAAAATACTACATATTAAATAAAATTGATATTGCATAAATGTATAAGTTTATAACCAAAAATATTTTTTAGCTTTAGTGATTTTAAAGTATTTTACCATCATTAAACCCTTGAGTATATGCATTGTACGCTTATGAAAAAAAAAAATGTTCACCATTTTTTATATTTAAAATGTCTGTACAGCTGCAAGAAAAACTTATGAGAAAACACGATTTTAATTCATTAAGTTTTTTGAGCATGAAACAAAAATTTAAAATGTTTATAAGCAGCTTAAAAATATGTTAATTATTTTTAAATGTCTATTATAATAATGTCTAAAAATACCTAATGTAAATATTTGGTTAAAATTTTAAGCTCGTAAATATTTTTTTCTGCCCAAAGAAGAAAAACCTCTTCTCCGAGACTGCCATTGTGTAAATATTATCGTTTTCCCCCCGATGTGGTTTTGTGAATTTTAAAAATTACATAGTAAATCAGTTGATTTCAACTTCCTAAATATTAATATGCAATAAGATCAAATTTACTTCCAGAAAAGTGTTTTTGTTGAAGATTTTTGCAGACTTACAAAGCAAGACGGCGGCCACAAAAATAGCACACACAATCGTAAGACCATTATTGCGATTACTACTCGCTCTGCCGGGAATCCAAAACAATATAATATTGTTTTAAAACCGAACCACAAAAATATCAGAATGGAACACCCGTCGCAGAGCCCCAAGACCGATTAATAATAAATATGCATTATGCATGCCGTCCCGTGCTCTCCGGAAATGGAAATCTATCTTGAGATAATAGAAGTTCGGTGTCGCCACTCGACGTCCACCGACACATAATAAGGTTCTTCCGGTAACAGTATTCAGCAAGGTTGTTTTGCGCTCCACAGTGATACCCAAGATGGATTGTTTTCACCGTCACGGTAGAATGATATTCTGTTACTGGTTCAGCCTGTCGTAAATGAGACTATTATACTTAATATTTCGTAATTTTTTTTTTTTTTATTCGTTCATTGAAACGACCTCTAGGTCTTCGTCGATGCTTATCACAAGTGAGTAGAAGGGAGATGATTTGATCTATTTATCCATGTATATATCACTATATATGCTTGATTCTCCTGCAAGAGGAGGCATGTGCGGTCTTCAATCCCAGTGGAGTGGGACCTAGTTGGAAACCGGATGACTCAATCGGACGACAGCGAGGGGAAAAAATGGTGATCACGTAGAACCACAAAAATTTATTTTGCACTATGCTATGAATCGAACCGATGACTGTGTGAGTCGTAGTCGACCACTGCGCCACTCCGGCCACATATTTTGTAATGAAGAAAAAAAATTCTCGACTGTGCATCGAAGCAATGACAAACCATTTTTATTATGAAAGCTACCGATAATTAGATAAAGTATACTGGGCAAGGACTGGAACCTTTTGAATTTTTTCGGAATCATTTTCGGTACCGGTTTTCCAAAAATAAAATAACGATTACGGTTCTGGTTCTTTGATGAAAAAAAATAAAGGTACCGGTTCCAAATAATTTCGTTAAAGAAAAGTATAATAATTTTAATTACCTATCCGGAATGCGGGTTTAATAAATTAATAGCGTGAGAAATATTAGAAAACTCATAATATGATCATACATAGATTATACACAAAACAGTAATACCCCTAAATTATGATAAATAAAACAATTTTATTTTTGAACCTAAAAGTACCTTTAAAGCAGTATAATATTATAATATATATTATTAAATGAATTATTTTTATATTTTTTAATTATTAAATAAAAGATGGATTGTTTTCACCATCGCAGTAGAACCATATTCTGTTACTTGTTTAGCCTGTCGTAAACAAAACTACATATTATTATTTTGTAATGAAGACAAAAAAAATTCGACTGCGCATAAGCACAACGACAAACTATTTTTATTATAAAAGCTACCGATAATTACATAAAGTATACTGGCCAAGGACTGGAACCTTTTGAATTTTTTCGGAATCGTCTTTGGTACCGGTTTTCCAAAAATAAAATAATGTTTCAGTTCTGGTTCTTTGATGAAAAAAAATAAAGGTACCGGTTCCAAATAATTTCGTTAAAGAAAAGTATAATAATTTTAATTACCTATCCGGAATGCGGGTTTAATAAATTAATAGCGTGAGAAATATTAGAAAACTCATAATATGATCATACATAGATTATACACAAAACAGTAATACCTCTAAATTATGATAAATAAAACAATTTTATTTTTGAACCTAAAAGTACCTTTAAAGCAGTATAATATTATAATATATATTATTAAATGAATTATTTTTATATATTTTAATTATTAAATAAAAGATGGATATGTTTTCACCATCGCAGTAGAACCATATTATGTTACTTGTTTAGCCTGTCGTAAACAAAACTAAATATTATTATATTGTAATGAAGACAAAAAAAAATTCGACTGCTCATCAGCACAACGACAAACTATTTTTATTATAAAAGCTATACTGATAATTACATAAAGATTATACTGGCTATATTGCTTATAACCTCACTCATAAACCCTCTTGGTCATAAACCCGTATATTTATCGTATAGTTAAAGCAGGCTTTAAAGCAGTATAATATTGTAATAATATATACGTGTGCGAAAATGTGGTCGTAATTTGTATTTATTAATTCGGAAGGAAAAATAAAATATGTAAATATTCCTAATAACGACGACGTCGTGGTATGTACGTCTACCTTATAGTTTGCGCAGACGAAACATTTTGGTTTTCCAATTATTCTGTTTCGATTAAACTTGGGCGTATACATAATATCATGCTCTGCTAGAATGTCGTAGGTAGGTACTGCGAGGACGAGCTAAAACGCGAATATATTCTACACGAGGGGAATTTTTTTTTATTATTATTTCGTTTGCCTTCGACTACTATTATACAGCAGCAGTGGCTGCGATTTAAATAAAAAAAAAACAAAACGTTTTGACACTACAATTTGGGGTGCGAGAAATTCTCGAGGAATATATACAATTTCGGCGAAACGTCATCGCCACCCCCCTCCCCCCCTGTTATTACCATAACACCTCGACAACCATATACTATTACGGCAGGCCGTGATAGGGCTGTGAGACGAATAATATTAGTAATAATACGACAACGAGCGTGTTATCTATAAGGCGGGAGAAAAGTTTAACGACGACGTCTGCGACGATATCGGTGGTGGAGAGGGTGCAGACGTGCATATTATATACAAACTTTCAAATAAACGCATAGTGTACATAATACGTGTGTACGGTTTGTGTACAAGTCAAAAACCGTTTTCGGATTATTATTATTATTGCTATCCAATGTCGGAAACCGCGTTTGCCAAAAGGGTAAAACACGACGTGAAACACTCTATATTACACTCTGCACACTCCACCGCCGCCGACAAACGGCCGGGGGACGGACTTAATGAAAATTCCATTCTGCTCCTATCCGTGAGATACCTATATAATAATATGTATAAAGTGGTATTGCGAGCAGCCGGGGCACTATCGAACGAGTGTAACGACGTCTAAAACCGACACCGATCACATCCTGGAGCGATGAATATTATTGCGAGGTCTTATACATATTATCAAGTCCACGCCGGTGTTGGGCAAGACTTGTGTGTCCGAAACTCAATTGCTCGTTCGGTCATGTTAGATAAGAGGTACTATTGTTTACTATTGTCCATCAAAAAACAAACGTAATGCTAATAATAACGTAATCGAAAGCGTTTTGTATACCTACAGCGAGTTAAACTCTGTGTGT